CTAGTTTATCAAAAGTAAACACTACAGAAGTGAAATAAAGACTGGTCCATCCCTTCTCCTTCAACAACTGTTGCTATACCACCTTCCTACAGATGCGGAGAAAACTTGCCTGTGTGGCTTGGAGCTTTTGCAGAAAATAGCATCCATTATTCAAAGGATGAGTAACAGCTCACACATTACATGTTGTGTTTCCTTTTTTTTTTTTTTTGTTAAGAAATGCTTGGAAGAAAGGCTAGCAACTTCTTTGCAGTGAATACCCATGGAGAACCAGAAAAATTCCCAGGTTATGGATAATTTTGTGTTTTGCAGCTTCCCAAAACCCAGGTTTTCTTCACAGACACATGGCATTCCCTTGGAAAATCTGTGCCCTCCCTGTCATCTCAGCTATAACTATGTGAAATTGATATAATTTTCTTTAACTTCATCATCTACCAACTTCTGAATAGCAGCAGTGAAGGTAACAAATGCCACCAATTTTCCCTCAGTAGCTGCAAAATCTGTGAATGTGCTGCTCTGGAACCAAAGCTCCCAGGACTTGAAAAATGCTTGGGGCTTTGCAAGAGTCTGCATTCAGCCAGTTGTCACAAATAATTTTTGAGAAGCTCACATTTTCTGATTAACCCACTTTTCCCTGGCAAACTTCACTGACCAACTGTGACGGTAACAGCCTGTCTACCATTATTTCACATTAGGGACAGAGGAAGATGCTTCAGGAAATCCAGCTTTTATTGTCTTAAAAGCTGGAAGGATTCACATAACACTACTCAGGAAAAATTATAAGCGACTTCTAGGACAAAGACTCGTTACAGTCAGTGGGTCGAAGAACCAAAGTCACTTCATCTCTTGCTTTCAGAGTTTCAGCCAAAGCCATTGAGGAGAGGGAAGCTGCAGTACAGATGTTCCCAGGCACTCAGCTAGGGGCTTTACTAAGAGAGGATAGGAGGTGAAAGACCACTGTGGCATCAGTGGAAAGCACAGGTGAGAGCCACAGAGAGAGAGGATGAGAGATTTATCTCTCTTCAGAATGGGTATTTTTGAAAGACAACTAACCGGAGCCCAGGTGTGAGTTTTTAGTCATCTTAAGAAGCTGGGTGAGCTGTAACCTGTTATCTGGAGAGGTGATGGTAATAGCTAGCAATAAAATAAACCAGTCAAAGTACTCCATTTTGTCTCCCACAAAGGATGTTTTATTTTTGTTTCTTGGTTATGGGTAGTTCTATTTGATCAGCTTGAACCTGGACTGGAATGAATGTTTCACAGTTGTGGAGAACTGCAGAGGTCTGAGTTTGAGTTTTCACTATTTTCATCTAATTCATTCTTTTTAAACTTAGGCTTACATAAAAAGACCTACATAGAAAGTTCGTAATACAGGTTATTTGTATTAAATATTTCTGACAGGAAGATCCCAAAATGATTCACAACATCTTCCCATTAGCTTTCTCTCACACTTTTTGACAGCTGTGGAGTGAAATACATCTCCCTCTGTCAGTAATTTAAGTAAAATGGCACGATTTTATCTACTCCCATTTCTTGTCAATTGAGTCTCTTTTCAGAGTATGTCCCGGATTTCAATTGTCTAGTCTATAGCTACTAAGAAAGTCTTGTTTGTTCCTATACCATCGTGCTGATCAGGTGCAGTAATTTTTTTCTGTTATTGATATTTTCAAGCTCATTTTTTAACCTCAAAGGAGATTACACCAAGAATGAAATACTGGCCAATACCTGTAAATCCAAAATATATTGCTTAGGGGAATTTTTCTTCTCTGTAGAAAACAGACTTAGTACATTTTCTCAAAGTCTCTTGATCCTTTATATGTGCAGTTCTTTTGAAGTACAAAAACGTGATGCTGTTTACATTACTACAGATGGGTGTTAAGGTGCCTTTTATGTTCTAAATCAAAATTCAGTGAGATTTAACAATTTGTGAACTGCTGTAAATCAAGTATGCTAAGGTCAGCTTTCTGACTCTGTTGTTAGCTCTTTGTATAGGGAAAGGAATAATATATAAAAATTACAAATAAATAAGAATAAAAGGCTGTGAAAGGTGACATGTTTGCTAGTATCTTCCTTGTTTATTTAAGGAAATCGTATGTATTCTGATAAAGGAACTCCTAAGAAAGTATGATAAATGGAAAAGATCTAAGTGCGAACAGAAATCTGGTTAAGTTTTCCAAAATTTGTGTGAATGATGTAACTACTTACCTGACTTCTAAAATAACTAATTTCAGAGTGAACTTGTCAAATTATCTGTGTAGTATATATAGAAAGAAAAAGAGATACTTATTTTTGAGTTACGAAAGCTTCTGCAAAGGATTGAATTGTGAAGAGAGAATTTGCAGGACCAGTTGGTGTGGACTTGCTGCATTTGTCAGGAAGATGCATCTCCAGGACAAGTCCTGGCTGATGATGTGCAGTAAGGACTTGCTTTCATGGGACACAGAAGGGGAAGGCCTTTGTGGAGAGGCTGGTGGAGACCCCTCATGTTTAGGGATCATTACCCCACAACCAACCATGGGTCTATGTAGAACATGTACCAGGGAACTGTGCCAGTCTGACCAGGCCAGGGAAATCAGGCAGCATACATGGTAGCATTGGTACTTGCCACACTTATGGAAGACTTTTTTCACCCCCAGAACATTACAGCAGATCTCCATGACTGCTGAAACTGTCATGAATTACTTGATCTCTGCACTTGATTTCTATGATCTCATCCTGAGAAGGTCTTGCTTACGCATGGCACAACCCTTGCAAGAGCGTAAAGACTGAACATCACTAAGATTTGACCTTCCAAACCAGGAAGCTTACATTTTGCAAAACTGATTTTTGAGATGTTACAGTCCCTTATCCAGCCATGGAAGTGCTCTTCTGATTCATGGTAAGGAGCTGCTGTCTTGGCTCAAACTGACACATTTGGGCAATTTAGTGCCAAATTTAGTCTGACATACTGCACGTACTCTGGACATGAGACTCAGGCCTCTATTTTACATCCATGGGGTTTTCACTGTTTTATTGGAATTTGCAGACTTGAAAAGTTTTCCTTGGAGGTCTGCTGCTGTTACTGCAGGCAAGCACCTTTACTTGCCAGCGAGCAAGATAGTGGAAGGGATCCTTTTTTCTTTTTTTCTCCTGTGTAAACCTAAAGAAGGGCAAAATCTGCTCTTGCCAAAACAAATAGACGGTCTACAACTGAGGTGGCTGGAATCAAGGTTTGTCCAACCTTGTGGCCTTGGAAATTGGCTACACTTTCTCCATTCCTTTGATTTCTAAACAGAAGTGCAATTTAGAAGTTTCAAAACTGTGAACTTAAGATAGGCAGGATATTTAGCTATGGCAATGCAAGATACTGAAAAGCACATATTTTCAGAAGGTTTCCATGAACACAAGAAACTGCTTTAAAATCTCTCTAAAATGTTGATTTCTGCAAGGAAAGAGACTAGGCTATGTAACTCAAAACTTATTGTGATAGCCATTTCAAGAGTATTTGAAACTATGGCGGCTAATTTTCTTGCAAAACTAAGGCCCTGGCTTAGGTAGGCCCAGGTACAAGACGATCTGGGATGTATGTCCAGGGCCTCCCAGGAAAAGATTTTGGACCTATTGCAGCCCATTTGCCCAGTCACTGCAGATAAACCTGTGACTTACAAAATACAGCCTGTTCCCATCAGACAGACCTCACTTCTTGCATGTTCTGACCCATCCACTTTGACTTGACCTCTAGAGCCCAGACAGCTCAGGCATGCTCTTGTCCTCCCAGCGTGGAACAGTCACAGACCACTCACTGTAACTCCTCAATTTCTTGCATGCCCATGTAAAAAAATCATGGAAGCCTCATCTGCAAGACCTGGAAGAGAAGGAAAAAAAGTTAATCTTTGTGCAAGGAAAAGCTTGCCAAGCTCAAAATAACAGCTCATCCTGAGAGCTGGTCTAATGTTTTTATAATAGGTTGTAATTTTTTATTCCCAGGTTGGATAAGCTGGTAGGTAGCAATGTGAGCACAGTGCCAGATGGTACTTGTGAGCAGGGAGCTGCTGCTCGTCAGCCAGGCAAAGGCATGTCACGAGTGCTGCTGTTTTGCAGCTGACAGGCAGCATCTCACGTCCCTGGGTGCAGGAATCCCGTGAATATTAGTTACCAATTTTCTGCAGGGCCTTCCACTGAGGACTCCTGGACTCCTGCAGAAGAGGAGGCTGCTACCCCTCCACAAAGCCTCTGTCGAGCCTCGGTGCTTCCAGCTCTGCTCCAGGTGTGCCCAGCAGTTTGAATGTCTTCATCCAACTCATATTCTAAAGCAGTTATCCCGTTATCCGTCACCCACGGATCTACCCATACCAGGAACCAGACGAGATGAGAAATCCCAAGTCAGGGCTCTACTGTTCTAAGGCTTTGTGCTCCTAGACCCACCCTCTAACACGAGAACTTATTGTTTTGGTTTCCTCCCATGCCTCCCCCCCCCCGCCCCTTTTATTCCTGCACACTCAGGTGACATTTTCCAACTGTTCCCCGCTGTTTGGACACTCACACCGCCTGGGACGCCGCGGTGGGACCCAGCTCTCACCGCACCGGCTGCAGCCGCGGTGAGAAACCCGCAGGGAGACCCCTAGTCCCCGCTTCGCCCCCGGGGCTGCGGGGGCACCGGCTACAGCCGCGATCCCCGTTCTGGCTCCCGGCGGCAGGGCGCGATCCGTCCCCTCCCGGGAGGCGCTATACCCCCCCCCGCCCCTGCCGGCGGCAGCGGGGCTTTCCCTCTCCCGATAAGCCACTCCCGCTGCCCGCGCCTGGCTCAGCCCCAGCCTCCCCCCCCCCCGCCGGCACACGCCGCTTCCCGCCGCCGCCCGCGCCTGCTCCGGGAGGAAGAGGGGCGGCGGTGACGGGCGGCCGAGCGGGACACGCCTTTCATCCTCCCCGGCCCGGCCCCCCGGGCCCCGCCGCCCACCGCGGGCGCGGCGCAGCGCAGCGCGGCCGCCGCGGCCCCGCCATGAGCCGGAGGTAGCGGCGGCGGCTCCTTCCGCAGCCGCCGCCGCCCGCCCGCCCCGCCGCCGCGGCGGCGGCTGGGCCCGCGATGCCGAACCAGAAGGGCGGCAAGGGCAAGAAGAACAAGCGCGCCAACAGCAGCGGCGACGAGCAGGAGAACGGGGCGGCGGCGGGCGGCGGAGCCTCGGCGGCGGCAGGCGGCGGTGCCTCGGGTGGCGGAGCCGGAGCGGCGGCCGCGGGCGGCGGCGGCGGAGCGGGCGGCGGGGCAGGCGGAGCGGCGGCCGCGGGCGGCGCGGCGCCCGGAGACGTCAAGAGCGGTGAGCGGCGGGGCCGGGCCCGCGGCCTCCCGCGGTGGCGCAGGCGGCGGAGGGGACCCAGGGGGCGGCGCGGGAGGACCCGCGGGGCGGGGGCGCGCCCGGCGGGAGGGGATGTGCGGGCGGGTGCCCGGGGCGGAGGGCGGGTGTCGCCCGGGGCCCTGCGCGGCTGCTTGCCGACGGGGGCTCCCCGAAACGCGCGGCGGGGCGGGGGCTGCGCGCCGGGGTGTCCCCGCCCGGTGTCTCTGCCGGCGGCGGTGCTGAAAGCGGCCCCGCTGCGCCGTGGGCCGTGAGCCTTGGGCGGCGGGGGCCGCCCCGGGAGCACGGTCCGCGGGCAGAGCGCATCCCCGGCGGGCGGCATTCGCATCGCCCGCCGGCAGCGGCCGCGCCTCGGCGGATTCGGTGCTCAGTTGAAAAATCCCCGCTTTATTTCATCACGATTGAAAATGGAGTCCTACTTTTCGGTCCGTTTCGTTTGCCGTTGTACAGCAGTTGGGTTTGTCAGGGTAACGGACTCACTTTTTCATCAACCATTTTATGGTGCTTTTGGTCGTTGGGTTGGGTTTTGGTTCGGAGCAGTTTTGGTAAGGTGTTTTCCTGCAGAAACTTGCGTTGCTATTCGTGTTTGTTTTACTGCAAAAGGAGGCTAAAACTAAAGGCAGCCGAGGATTTTATTACACTTTTTGCTGAGCCAAAAAACTCCACCTCTTAGGTCTGCTGCTGGGTTTACAAACTGTGGCATGGGGTCCCTACTCTTGACTTTTTTCCTTTCCCAAGTCGGATGTCAGCTTCTTACTCTTGATGCTTTACAAACAGTGAGAGGGTAGCTACAGTTGGTTCTATGCTTTGTGGCGGTAGTTTTGCCTTGGCTGCTTTTAACCACAAAGGTAGTTTCAAGAGCCATGGTTTGGTTTTCAAGATGTCTGATTCCCGTGTATTATTTAAGGGAAACTTTTCCTTGGAAATATTAGCAATTAATTACTTACACTTCAGCTCACATAGTGTTTGCCAGACTGCTTTTGTAAGAGAATCATGGAGAATGCTTAGAATTTCTCTTTTGGGTTTGTTTTGGTCTTTTTCTTTACTGTTTGCTTTAAGTGGTGAACGATGGGGAAAAAAAAAAAAAAAAAGAGAAAGAAAGATTACCAGGAGTTAGAGAATTTCTAGAGCATTTTTTTCATGACTTCAGTATGGTGTCCAGTATTCAATTTGCAAGTGATGTCTCACACATGACACCGTTGGCTTTCGTTTAGGTGGGGAAAAGCAGTGTTCGGAAATTTTTTTGCTCAAGCACAAGTGGCAGCAGAGGTGCGTTTCTGGTGTGGCTTTTTGCCTGTGAATAATGAGGTGGTGTTCCATCTGCAGATGCCCCAGAACGTGATGCCACTGAACACTGGGTAGTGGTTCACCTCGCTAGCTGGACAAGTTGTTAGTCTTCTTCAGCTGTTAGACTGTGTGCCAGGTGCCTGATGTGTCCTTCCTCTGTGCTGGTCAGCTTCCTCAGAAGTTGAGACTTGCTTATTTGAGATCTAACCTGAGATGCTCCTTTATTCTCTCTCCCCGCTTCTGTATGATTTAAGTGTTCAGAAACATGCTTGACTCTTTTGCCAAATTCCTCCCTTCCCCCCGCCCCCCCCCCCCTCACAACAGAGGTACAACATCAGCTTCGACATTTGCTGTAAGTGCCTGATCTTTCCCTTTACAGGATCACTGCATCTAGTTGTACCTTTCCTTTCAGGTAAGCATAAAGGCTGGAGGAGTAGATGTGCTTGCTAGCTTTATTTTACACTGACTACTGCCCATCAGATAATCCTGAGCTGTGTCTTGATTTGTATTCTCACTGGTAAGTCCAAAGCTTTCAACAGTTTTGGTTCAGGAGATGAAAGGAGAAACTGTTCCTGATGTGCTACAGAATTAGGAATCTGGCTCTCGTATGCGAGGAAAAGATTAGATGATGATAATGGATTCTCCGAAGTCTTCAAAACCGATGAATCTGAAATGAAGCTCTGTACTGTAGCCATGGCCTTGGAGGCAACTAGTCCATTACTAGACTCAAGACATTTGTAAGAGGCTGTGCACTTTAGGGTTGCTTGATCACTAAGCAGTTTATGGAGGATGTGGCCTGCTGCAGTGAGTGGTGAGGTTAACAGATTTCTGCTGTACACAATCAAGCCTCGATTATTCATGGGAGACTATCTGGGTTGCAGATTAAGTGTGCTGGGTGCAGGGAAGCTCTTTGCTGTGCTGCTTTTGGACTGTGCAGCTTTGTGCTGTGACTCCTGCTGCCCAGGTTCACTGGTCCTGTGGGTCCCCAGACTTGTTCTTCTCTCCTGCACTGTCACCATATGCTGTTCTAGAGTAATTTGCATATGCCTGGTATCATCGGTCTGCTACTCTACCTTTACCCTGGAAAGGCAGGGGATGGTCATAATAACATAACCTGTTTTCTTTCATTACTGTGACAACACAGTAGTATGCAGAGATGAAAGCATCAGATTTAATAATTGAAAATGTCTGTGCAAACCTTGGCTTTGCATCATGATGTCAGTATGACAGTCTAATTATGCTGTCACATCAGGACCCTGCTTCACTCACGAAGAAATACTGATTCGGATATGGGGTTTTTTAAGTCTTCACAGTTCATTCTGTGTTCCATGTATTGTTTCTACCCCCCACACATGTACCATTATGAAAGGGAATTTTAAATTTCCTCTGGGCTTCTCTGTGCAGCTCTGACTAGTGGTGCTATGTAGTAGGGAACTGCTGTTATAGCATTCCTTTATGGTGGAAAGTTGTTCCCTTTTACATTTTGATAAATATTGCTTCAATCTCTGCACGGTTTTCCCTCAAACTATCATTCAGTTTTTGGCATGATGACTGAGAAATACCAGCTTTTCTCTTGCCCCAAGAGGGCATTTATTTATGCTTTTTTTGTTGTTGTTGTCGTGGTGTTTTAATTTTTGCATGTTCTGAAATCAAATTGTGCTCAAAGGTTCTAGACTCGTACAAGGGAATCAGGAAGACAGAGAGCATAACCACTGACAGATGTGATGGTTTTTCTCCATCTTGCACTGTGATTTCATAGCAGGTATTGGGATGATGCCTAGAAGGAGGATTCACACTCTATGGCTGTGCCTTTCATTCCTCTTTCTTCAGTTAGACCAAGCAGAAATTCTGTATATAAATAGAGTAATCTTTCTTGATGAAAGAAACAGTAATTTTATGCGTTGAATGAGGCACAAGTCATGGGAGAGAGAAGTGTAGGGTGTGGGTAGACTAGTTTAACAGTATCATAGTGTGCAGGGAGACTGAGATGTGGTGTCACGGAAAGCCTCATTTCTTAGATTCTTTGTCTTCAGAGTGATTGAATAATGTTTCTAAAATGTTTTTAGTTTTCTAGGTAGTTTTCTGGGTTACTTTTCATAACCAATCTGAAAAATCTGAGCTATCATCATATAACATTATACCAGCAGCTGCATGGGATTGTGCAACCTCATTGACACCAGCATTCCTGATGGCAGTAGTTGGTTCCCTTCATCTGTAGACATAAAAAAATATAACATTTTGTGGATACTTTGCCCTCATCAGCAGAAGAGGACAATGATCCACAGGGTTTACTTTCAGGTCTGAACTCTGAGTAGCAAATTCGTATTCTGTTCCTGCCATGCTGAGACTGGGCAGTTTCACACCATCAGCTTCAGCTGTTTTATCCCTTTATCCTCTGAACTTCGTGCTTTAGTCTCCACATACCATTGTTTCTGACCCTAAAATTCTTTATTCTGTCAATTTGCTTTGGCCGGTTTCCATTTTTGGTGTCATTGTCCAGTAGACCCAGGTCTTCTTCCTCCACTTGGTGGTTGCTATCGTAGCATCTTGCTGCTTCATCCTCTTGTCCTTGTCACTCTGGTCTCTCCAGCACTGGTGCTGTGAAAAGAGAGGAAAAAAAGAAGCTGTCTCTCCTACCTGTATTCTCCCCTTTAACATGGGGTTCATTAAAGCCAGGTAAATTAAATTTAAAAAAAACCCTGTTCTCGGATCATTGTCTTAACAGTGTACTGGCCACCTGTTTTAAGACCATAATTTTTCCCCTCTGGTGTAGGTCAGCTCTTAAACTGCACAAGTGTCAGAGCTGGAAACTTAGTGGGTTGTCAGGTGGAGCTGCCAGCAGTCAGATTTGTTTCAGATTTGAACACTCTTCACCCAAGTTTCACAAATTTTTAAGACTTACGTACTTTCCAATAAAAATGTTAATGTAGAACAAGTGTATGAAGAAGAAAATCAGTCAGCACAACAGTGACTAATGTGTTGAAAACTGTGACTGGCCAGCAATTATGATTTACTAAATTTACTAAATTTACTAAAACCAAAAATTATATCCTGGAGTTGGGATAGTTAAAGAGGGCCAAAAAATTTGTCAGTGCAATGTTTAATTTAAAAATGTATTTTCAGAATATGAATTGTAGTAGTATTTAAACCTGGATTAATATTTGCTGTCAGATGTTCCCTGCTGCATATAACATCCAGTTCCAGTTTGGCACTCTAGTGATATTCAGTATTGGCACCTTCTGATTATTTAGCCTGAGGGAGTCCCATTGATATCAGTGAGGCCACCTGGAAAATTAAGTTTCTGTTCTGTTGCAGTGACTACAAAATTTAATACCTATAAATTTACTAAAGGGAAATAATTTTGCTTCATAATTCCATTGCATTCATCTAACTGCAGAAATCAATTGAATGCAGATTTTGCTGTCTCAATGCAAATCAGGCTCGAAAGGACTTTCATATTAGTTTTAGGATTTTTAAAACTATGCAGTTACATGCTTTGGTAGCAAATCATGTTCTGCAAATCTTTGCAAATGGAATCATGTCTATGGTATTAATGAATAAAAAAAATACTATCCTTTCATGCAAGCACGTACACACCCATTTAAGGTTTGGGGTTTTTTTAAAGTTATTTGTTATCAAAATGGTTATCAGTGCCCTGACAACATTCTGTGTTCATG